ACACACACAAATAGACATACACACACAAACATTGTTATCAATAGTGTCTTTGACAACCCCCAGTCTGCAGCTGATCGACAAGCACATAAACTTCCCCTCTCTCTTCCCGTTTCTGCTCCTCACCCCTCGTCTTTCTTCTCTCCTGAAAAAGAAAAACAGGCATCAGAATGAAAGCAAAAGAGAGCAGATGAGTGAGACTACAGAGAGAGGAGAGAGAAACTTGTATGTGCTGGGTTGTACCTTTTTTTCATCTTGGCTCATATCATCAGGTAAAAAGTTCAAACACCACAGAGCTAGCCTACTTAAAAGAAGGGCGTTCAAGCCAACTCTGTGAAATGACGATGATGACCTGTCTATCTGCTGTGCCACATAAAATCCCACGGCTCAATGAGATAAACAGCCTTTACTTTATTTCATATTCTTTACAAGATGGATAAAAAAGGTTGCATGGCATTATTTTTATTTGTTTTATTTTTCCTGTTCCCACATATATGTGGGTCACAACAGATCCATGCAGGTGGCAGGTACCACTGGTTTGTGGTCTGAAAGCCACACCTCTTTTTTCATGTAAATACTTCTTTTAATTTCATGTCTTCAGTCTGTCATCTCTCCGGCCTTTCAAGAAAAGCACCAGCTCTATGAATAAGGGACAGTGTCCTATAGCACCTGCAGAATTTTACCTCATGTCACCCTTATTCTTTCATGCTTGTTTACTCCGCTGCCCTCACCTCTTCCTCTCTCATGTCTCCTCTCAGGTGGGTTTGTGCTGGTGGGACCGGACCAGTATTAGTTTACACTGTAAACAATAGTCCTCTGTTCTCGTGCCTTCTGTTCCCTGCCCTTCCTCTGTGTCCTCCTTTTTCATTCCATTGGCACCATCACCTCCCTCCACCACATCAGCAATCTCTCCCTCGATCTCCCTCCTCTCAATACACTTCTTTCCTCTGTTTATTCATTTCAGCCTCAACTTCTTTTACTCTCGACTGTCAGGCCCTCTCACATCGTCTTTGACAGTCAAAGATTTATGAAAACGGCAAAACTCTATCAAGAGGCGTACTATAAACTAACTCATGCCCTCATTTCTAATAATAAACAGCAATTAAAACAACTGTATTAGTTCTGTATTAGAGTTCTCCTTCAGAGTTGTGCCCCAAGTGTCAATTCTATGTCCACTGCTTTTATGCTGATTTATCTATTAACCCTCGACCGAAAGATAAAGTTATAATTCCTGTGAAAATCTTATAATCAGCCTCATCCATCCAAGCATGAAATCACATAAACCAATTCATCTAGTTATCATATATCATCCTCCTGCCCCTTACGCTTTATCTGAATTCTCTGAATTTCTATCAA